CGTGGAAGATTTGCTTTTAAGTTGAGTACGTGTTTGGCGCGCAAATTATATGTATAACTCAATTATTTAGGCGGTAATCATTTGGCATAATTATGTGTGGTTACATTTACTTGATAATCCCCTTTACCATAAACAGGTCTACCAGAAAGGTTTTTTCCTCCCTGTTCTTTTAACGAAAATAATCCAGTACGAAAATTCATGTTATTATCTTTTCTCTTGAACCCTTTTGACTTTCCCTGTTTTAATCACACAGATGGGTAAGATTAATTGTACTTGTGTAAGAAGCGTGGAAGTAGAAATAGGGGAAAGGTGATAAATTGATTGTTGAAATTATTTCAATCTTTTAGAGAGCCGTGAGAAGGATATATAAACTTCTTTTAAAAAAAGACGACTTTGGTGGATTTTATCTTGACGAAGAGTGAGTAACATGTTATTATATTCAAAGATATTTTACTTTATATTGATTAAACCGTGAAATCAGAGTCTAAGCTGCTGCTAGAAATATTGAGATGTTATGTGAATACCTTATTGTTGTTGCTTTTGTCTAAGTGTTAATACTGTTAAACGGTGTTTGTTCTTGTCTCAGAGTAAATTCTGATAACAACTATGGAATTTTTGAGCGCACAGTAGAGCAGGTTGTACATCAACAGGGAGGACCTGAAAAGTGTCCCTGGACAAAGGATATCATTGAAGGTAGCTATCAATAATCATAGCACATGCATTTCACTTTCATTGGGGTGTCATTATGGTATTTTGCAGGTGGGCATAAGAATTTGGCACTTAAGCGTATTGATGTATATCTCTTTTATAACAAGTTGAGTTTCACTGAAGGCCTTGGCTTAAAAACATCCAGACAAAATTGCACTCACAGTTGGTCAATTTGTCTAGAGCCCAGTCCTTAAAGATACCCCTGCTTTTAGTCTGTACTATCAGTTAGTGTCTTTAACCACTTTTCCCTCAACAAAAATTTCATCATAGAACTAGCATTCAGTAACACAGTTAGATATCATGCAACTTCTAATGAGCACCCTCATTATATGTTTCAAATTTAGGGCAAGAGGAAGGGTATATTTTTAATTTTTTCCTAATTTACATAATAACTTTCTCAAATGTTGCAGAAATTTAAATATGTTGCAAACTAGAACTTTCAGGTTAATTTCTTGTCTCTGAAACATTAAGTTCAGTGTAAATCCTCAACAAAGCTTACTTCACACCTTAGCAATGAATCACCAAGGACATACTGCAAATTTATATAACTTGGCAAATATACCTATGCGGCCAGCCATAAATGATTATAAATTTGAACATTGTCATTTATTTATATGGGAATCTTTTTATAATCAACTTCTCATGGCATTTTGATAATTATTTCTTTGAACAGCTGCTTTACAAAGATATTTTAAAACGTGCCTAGAAACACATAAGCTGAAGAGCAGTAATCGCTATGAGGCACATAAACAAAAAACAAGGAAGAGTGGTCGCCAAAGAGAGGTATTTATTGGGATACTATTTTAACATTTTACTTTTCATATACCCTGCTGTTCACAAACGACAGGGTCTGACAGATGTTCAGTGTTACCAGTGCACCATTGAGTACATTGATCAATAGGGGGGAAGATGTTTCCCACTGAATGCATTTTTTTTTGCCACTTCAAAATTGGATGGCTTTGCATATAGACACTTTTAAGGGACTGTGTCCTGTCAAAATTTTTTTGTGCCTATGAGAGCAATTGTTAAATGAATTATGTATTCTAGTCTGTATCTAGAGCCCTCCTTACAAAGAAAATCTTTGTAAAGTAAATTTTGTAATGTATAATATTATTTTAAAGATGGATCTGTAGTTGAGGAAAAGAATGAAAAATATTAAGATGTGATTTGAGATCAATGATAGCTTGTATGGACCATTTGATGAAAAATAAAGGACAAGGAGACTCTATAGTATAAAATGTTTAAGAATTCCATTCTTACACTGTGTGCACATGCATATCAAGAGAAATTAGTAATTTGGATCATATTTTCCATTTGAGGTCTTATAATACCCTTCTCATGCTTGTTGTATATTTTTGTTTTTTCAGAAGTTAATGAGACGAACTACAGCCCTGGAGCTGGTCAACTGGGCTGACCAGCATGAAAAGGGGAAGTGGCAGAGGTTCTTGTGATGGAGGCGATGAGCAGTGAAGAAAGCTGTTACGAGGATGATGATATAAATAACTCAAAATTAACAAAATACTCTGTCCATCGCCTTCAATGGGAGAGTAGAAGAATGAAAAAAATAAAAAAAAAACTTGATAAGGCCTATAAGAAAAAACTCACTTCAAGAGCTAAGGAGAGAATCCTACCCAGAGTTGATGGGCAACCTTCTCTGAGATGCCCACCAACTGAAAATTTTCCGGGGTGGGCAATAAGGCAGTAAAAAAAATTGTTTTATCAATTTAAAAATGTATAATATATCCAGATCATAAAGTATTAATCAGCCATGTCTAGAATGAAGGTCTTTTACATGCCTGCGTGAGACTTCTTTTTCATTGAATATGTTAATTAGCAATTTTAATGGTCTCATTATCTAAAGTAAGTAATTGTGAATTCTTCAATTTTATATTTAATTTCCTCCATATGAGATACTTTTTTCCATATTGATGTACAGGTCGGCAAATAATTGATAGCTATCGCAAATTTAAATTGATTTAGAAAAATATACTGATTTTTTAGATTGATTGGTTGAACTTATTTTTTATTGTTAGTATCAGTTCAAATTGCATTTCTTAGTGGCTGGATTTGAGAGTGAAATTTGTGAATTAATAGCTTTTTGTGTAGTGTGTTGCTACAGCTAGTTATATTCTGTAGTTCTTATATTTCTATAGTGATAAAGATTCTATTCTATTCTATTCTATATAGATGACTGAGATTATATGAATTATACATTAATGAAAGAGAAACAATCTTAATAAAGTATGACAATTAGTAATTCAAACATTTGGATGTCTCTTTTTTACTTATGTATGTGCCTCAAATGAGATATCCTCAGCTTTATTGTGGGTTTACTCTATCTCAGGGGAGGAAGTGAGTTTTGAACAAAACTATTTCATCACTGCAATTTCAAACATTCTGTAATTACTTGTATGTGTGATGTCTCTTTTTCTAACAATTTAGAAGTTTCCCAAAATATTATGAGTTATCATAATATAAATGTGGGTGTGATTAAGCAAATCAAAAGTCAATTTAAGGTGAAACCTACAGCTTTTAGAGGCACTTAAAGGTCACTAAATGATGAATTTTAACAAAACTTGAAATTTAAGAGGACCTGAAAGTACAACTAAAGATGAATTACAACAAAACCTGCAACTTTAAGTAGTACTTAAAGGGAAACAAAAGATTAAAGAAACCTTTAAGTTGCCTTTACAAGTAGAAGTTTTGGCAATTAAAGACGAGTTTACGAGAATTAGGAGGATTCTTAAAGTCAATTAAATGGTTATTTAGGTTTACTTTCATTTGATCCTAAAGTGTTCATGAAATGGTTCATAAGGAGACTTTAATTGACTTCTGAAAGTTCAATTAAAGATTCATTTCAGAACTTTCGTATGTCACCTAAAGATGTCTTAAATACTTCTAATGTTAACCTTTAAGTTACCTTTAAGGAAACTTAATTTAGTCATTTCATCCTGTGTATGGTCAAGATTACTGGATATTAGCCTCGTTCTTTTTCTACTTTTTTATGGACCGTGACTTCGTCTCAATCGATAAAAACGCAAACAAAAAAAAAAGAACTCGGCCAATATATAGCCATTTTGAACTCACGTTCGGTCAATAACGCATATGAATATATTTTATGCAAACCCTTACAAATCTGGCAAGGGAAGACAGTACAAAAAATGCCCTTCTGAGCCCAAAATTTGTCTAACGTATAAGTCGGTGGACTTCTTTTTCCTTGTAATTTGGTTCATCAAGTGTTAACTTCAGCACTGAGGACAGAAGTATTTCGTCAAAATCTGATACACTTAAGAGTCGGAGCCAATGATATAGAGAGAGCTATTAGTCAACGTTCTCGTTGCTTCTGCGTCCGTCGATTTGATGCCAAAAGCACGTCAGTATTAGAATAAGGTTTTGTAGCCAATGCTTCTCAACATACGTCTTTAACAAATAAAAAGCCGCTGATTAATATCAGTGAGCCCGCAATATCCCATAAATATTGGTCAGAGGATTCTTTGGTGCAACAGCTGTCACTTTAACATCTCAATGTTAGCGCAGTTAAACGATTGCATAGGAGGCTTATTACATTTAGGACCGAACGTTATTACATTTAGGGCTTTATTACATTTAGGACAGTTATTACATTTAGGACTTCAACAGGGGGGAAAGCAAGTGGGCGATATCAAAATGTATTTTTGGCCTATTCTCCTCAACGTCATGATTGTTGCTCAGGTTGCGTATTCTCCTTACCAGCCTTCCAGGATTCATATCAATACTTTAGGAAGAAATCGTGCCGCATCTTTCTTACTTTGTTTATCTTCAGGCTCGGGAGTTTCAACGTGAAGTCAGAAACAAAGGGTTGTATTATCGCTTGAGGGCCTTTACTGGAGACGATGTGTCGTCAATGAACTGGTACACAAAAGGAAGGACAAAAAAATGCTCCGAAATAATGTTATGTACATAGTATTGTGGAGAATGTAAATCGACTGGTTTTTTAATTAATGTTGAATTTTGATTGAACATGTTCTCAGATAAAAAAAAAATCATATACGTAAAGGAGTTGGTTCCGAGAGAGAGTGTTTGAGAAAAACTTCACATTTATACCTTTGAAAATAACAGTTTAGAATTGGTCCACCCTATTTTGCTGTTTTTCATCGAGAAGAGATCGAAGGATGCATTTTGGAGTACAATTTGACGCTCTCATAAAAATTTCAAAATATGTGATAATGTAGTAATCTTGATGTCTAGAATTGTGGCAAAATGACTTTATTTAAATATTTCACTTCTACAAATAAAATTATATGTACAACTTTATCCAGATGCGGTTATTTTCATTAGTAATGTGATTACCCACTCGTCCTATATACACGAGGGTTCTAATTCCTACCGTTGTCGTGCAAAAAGCTCAGGAAGCTCCAGAGCTATTTTGCGAGACAACCACAGTTGAACGCTTTTCGAATTAGACTACAGTAGCAGGCAACGACATCATTGCAACTGAATCCAAAACACAAATACACTGATAACGAAACTTAACTTTGTACAACGCTATACAATAATTATCAAACGTGCGCTTTCATCTTTTTAGTTTCATTTCGCTTGTGAAATGACCATAGAATCGCCTGTGAACATGACGAAGAAAACTAACGCATCAAATACACGCTGGACCGGACAAAGTGTCTGCATGTATGTTGTTATTCTACGGAGTTTTGTTCGATGATTTGGAGCTTTCGTTCGCATAAATTTGTTACCCCTGTGTTTGGAATTTTTTAAGAAGTTTCTTAGTTTTTATTTTAGCCAAATATCGTGGCTCATTCAACAAGTTTAGTACATGTTTTCTGAGGAGTTTGGATTCTAGCCTATTTTTTTGAAAATGGATTTTTTACAGAAATCGCGACCGTGTAATCTGCGCTTTTCCGCGCATGAGGCGTTAGGATGCATTTACCTCAAGTTCCTTACCTTAAAGGTTCCTTGCCAAGTTGATTTTGTTCCCATTGGTTTTAGTGATTTCTTTGGTTTAACGACACTCGCAAGTTAAATTTGGCACTAAATACCTTGTGTGCGCTCACGAAATGTGTCTGTTAGTCTGACTGCAGTTGACGTTTAACTCACCTGCCGTTTGTTAAAGTGATTAAACATAGTGAAAACCACAACCTCACAGCCTGCGTTTATATAGGAACAAAAGGGGCAAGTTTCTAAAGAAACTGTCACATTGGTAATGCGTTGGTAGGGGTACTACAACATAATTTAGTTTTATCAACTGAGTTGATAATGAAAATCAGCCACCATAAAGAGGTTCTAAAACTGAAGTTCTAGCGTTAAATGTTCGTCAAAGCGAAAGACGAAGGGCGAAAAGAATTTAACTAATTACAGTCAAAAAATGTCCCGCAGGCTTTAACTTTGTTCGCTCTCCGGTTCTTCCTCCTCGACCTCATTAATAACAGGAAACACGTGTTCTTCCTTGAGCCGTTAAGCGACCTCTCTGCTCCAGTTCCTGCTCGATCTGCTGCAATCTTCTGTACTTACTGACATGCTCAGCGCGGACTGGACCGCCGAGTTTGATGAACCGCGCACCAAAAGCCACTGCCTGAAAAATAAAACACGGCTGCTATTATTAGAAAAAAAATTCCAGCTGCAAGGAAGGGCAAGATGCATTCCAAGAGCTCAACCATTAACCACGTATTTCCACCTTTCTGTCGAGAGCTCTAAAATTCGAGTTAAGTTTTCCACGTGCGAACGCGCAAATGGTGAAACGCGCGCGCTCGCACCGTTTGTCTGCGTCACGACTGCAGTTACTTACGCGATACTGAAAAAAAAACCAACGACTCTTGCGCAATAGAGGAAAGTACATCTGAACAATGAAGTATGTTACGTGAGGACGTTTGGACTTTGTTTTCAAGGTTAGAGAGCTAACGTAGATTTCCATTTAATTCAGTCTTTCCTTAAGATTTTCCCTGACAAGAGAAAACTTTGAACATTTGAAACAGTCTTTTGATTCATGAGCGTAAAGATCAGTGTGTTTGGAAACGTGTTTTCGAGCTAAAAGTGTAAATCTTTATCTATTTAGCTATGAAGTGGGTAAAATTTTGTTGATTTTCCCGGGCTCCGGCTTTTCACGTCGGAATGAACCACAGTGATACAATTCAAGCTGTTTTACGGGTAACCCTCACCGTGACAAGTAAGGTCAAGTTGAGCTTATCAATAGACACTTAAACGCAAAACTGACCACAGAATTTAACTAAATATCCAGAGATGTTAAGGGTCATGTATTCCTCATAACTATAAATAAATTGACCAAAATTTTCCATTGCTTATCGACATCAAATGCAGTATCCTTAGCAAAAATCATGTCAAATATTTCAGATGAAACCTTGCAGACTGTGGAGACACTTTAAGATGATGAATGAAATGTTCTCATGACATTCAACTTTGATTCAAGGGCGATATTGTAAGGGGAAAATAGGAACCAGTCACTCTTAGTGGCTAAGGGTTAAATTACAAAAGTCAAAATCTAAGGGATAAGGTTAAGGTATGTTTAACTTACTAGTTAGAACTCTTGGAAACTTGAATTAGCAGTCAAAGCAAACGGTAAACCACTGTTAACACAAATCGATGATGAAATAAACAAAATAAAAAGAGCAAATCTTTGAGACGTTAGCTGCTAAACATGATTCTTAGAGAAAAGTCAGACAGACCTGCCTTGAACACTTGACTTTATGAGAGTAATGGTTAAAAATAACGGTTTCATAATTTCACCAGTCTCTACCAGCAATGTATAGAAAACATTATACATAAAACAAAGAAAGAAGAGGAAATAAGTTCAGCGACAAAACAACAAAAAATGATTCTGCAAAGGACTTTTGTTAGCTGTGTCTTGCTGATATATTCTACCTGTCACTTCTGCCAAGTTTGTGTTTCTTCCCAAACAGCAGGTGAGAGCGAATATTTAATTCCGTTATTTCACCGCGGTGAGTGGATAATCCTTCGCTTTTTGGTAATTCATACGAAAACATCCACCAATTGTCAGCAAACGCTTATAGCTTAAGAATGAAGGCTCGCGCAAAAGGATCAAAACTAGCGACCGTAGGATTTACACTAGCCTTGTCATCTCATGTTATAACTAGGAAACATTTGAAATGAATGAGTCGGACAACGGTGAACATTTTGACCGTCACATCTAATACCTTCGATTCTATACTACGCAAGGTTTGCTTGTTAGAGTTGCTAAGAACGGCTCTGAAACGTAAAAAGTTTCATCTTACTTAATTTCTACTCCTTCAGCAAGGTAAAAAACCCATGAGGAATTTTGTTCCGCTGCTTAAACCTGTCTTCAGCTAAATGGTTGGTCAACAAAAGCAATCTAGCGGTTTGGAGTGTTCTAAGCTATCGGCCTCCTTCATCAACGATTCAACACCAAGAAAAACTTGCGTTTCTGGACACAAAAATACCGTTTCGTTATATATTTGAAACTAAACAAAAGGTGTGGGTGAAGTAAACGAATTAGCCGAGTTTTTTTTCTAACTCTCGCGGTCTCAGATTAAGCAGGTCGTATGACGGGTTTTTATGTGACGTCAAAGAAGATCGAGTCTGACCTACTTTTCCTACCCGTACAAAGTTCTTAGCGAATTTCAGACAACGCTTTTGCCATGGAGACCTCGATTTCATCTTCATGTCACAAAACTGTACAGCCAACTCAAAATTGAAATGGAACCAAGCTAAACTGATTGAATTGCGAAGATCCACTTTACACCGATAAACAAAAATATTGTCCACAAAATTGACTTTTATAGCTTCTTGAATAACTACTACAGAGAGGCCTATCGAAACCTAGTAAACCAATTGCTGAATTAATACAGTGCTCTTTGAAAAAGAAATTCCGGAATGAGTGAAGGCCTTCGGGTGGAAATACACCGCAATGTTATGACGTTTGCCGAAGTCTTTCACTATGAACCCTTTAACTTTAAATATCTGATTTTTTAATTCCCCCGTCTAGCTGCTACACATTTCTGTTCAAATTAGTTACGAGAATTAGATAAAGATAACTATTTTTACCTGATAAGTTCGAGTATTCTCATTACCTGTTTGCTGGACGACGTATGGATATTATAGGGAGAAGTTATCACTTCTGGGGGTTGACAGGTTACCACAAATGCAGTTCTTTACCAAACAGACCTACACTAGTACCTTTACAAACTGGAAATTAGCGCCCGGGCTTATTCGAGGATTTACTGTCTAAACTCCGAAATTCAGACTGAACAGTCTCAGGGGAAGCTTCCTAACTCTACCTTTTCCTTTGCATCTTCTCTCTAAGAGCTTTGTGGTGTAAGACCAAAATGGGCCGAGCAGTCAAGTGATAAAAGGATCACTGGAGGACATGAAGCTAAGCCCGGCAGCTGGCCCTGGATGACGAGCATTTTTGTCACGGGGCTGGGAGAGTATTTCAAATGTGGGGCCGCCCTTATATCGGACCGCTGGGTCATCACCGCAGCTCACTGCACCATTGCCAATATTGGACCCATACTAGCAGCAGCCAGTAAATATCCAGAGATGCTGAAGGTAATGTATTCCTCGTAACTATTGATATATCGACCAGAATTTTCCATTGTCTATTGACATCAAATGCGGTATCTCTAGCAAAAATCACCTCGAACATTTCAGACGAAACCTCGTACACAGTGGAGACACTTAAAGATGATGAATATAATGTTCTCGTGATCTTCAAATTTGATTCAAGGGTGATACTGTAAGGAGATAGTAAGAGCCAGTCACTTTTAGTGTTTGAGGGTTAAATTACAAGTCAAAATCTAAAAACAAACCTTTAATTCAAGGTGCGCGTTGGTGAACATAATTTGGATCAGCCTGAAGGAACAGAGGAGGATCTAAACGTAAAGAAAGTTGTGCTGCATCCTAAATGGGACATAGGAGTGGAAAATACGCCCAACGGAAAGCAAATTTATTCAAAACACGACATCGCTTTAATAGAGCTTAGCAGTCCGGTCAACTTTACTTCAAATGTGAAAAGCATGTGTCTTGATAATGGGCAACTCTTTAAAGCTGGTAAGAAGAATGGGAACTTATCGTTTCTTGTCTGTTAGTTTTTACAATTTGCATGTTTAAGTAATTTTTTTTCAGATGTTGTTAGTGACGCTGCAAACTTGATCTTCAACCAATTAGAACGGAAAAATTTATGTCCTTGGAGAGGGAAACACGCTTGGTACACAAGCTACAGACTAATCGAGTGGGTGGCACGACGTTTTGGAAACAACCAAAAATCATTAAAAAAAGTAGTGAAACAAAGTACACCACGCTCCCATAAAACATAACAATAATCAGAGCATAACTTCAATTTTGATCTATTTACCTATCTAGTTTGTTTTGTTCTTAGGCACGATGTGTTATATCGCTGGCTGGGGCACTAAGAAAGTAAAAGGCCCTGCTACAAGAATTCTTCACGAAGCCGCTTTACCACTTGTGTCGCATGAACAGTGCAATGGCCCCAAGTCATATAGTGGAGTTATTGGTGGCAACTTGATCTGTGCTGGATACAAACAGGGGGGTGTCGATACTTGCGAGGGAGACAGTGGAGGTGAGATGGACTTTTTTAACACTAAAAAATACAGAATTCGAAGGAAAGTGAAACGAGCCCCCTACTTACAACTGAAAACATTTTTCCATGCATCAGTCATATGTATTCATGGGGTTTACAATATCTAGAAATAGAGGAAACGAGGTTGCATCGCCATCGAGCACTGAGAATCATAAACACCTAGATAATAACTTTGATGGACAATTTGAACCACCTCCAGACTACCTACATTGGACGACCTTGATATCTGCAAAACATAACTCCAAATCCCCCCTTTTCAGCGTTTTTTAGACCACGTAAATCTCGATCGTTAAGTCATGATTCCTTTGGAGTTACGGCTGTCACAGGCACGATCTTAAAGAAGCAACGGACGTCGACCACCTAAAACCTTTTGTATACCTGAGTAATTTGTCTTCAGGAATAACAAGTGTCCTTCCTTTTTCAGGACCACTAATGTGCCAAGGAGATGGAAAGAGGTGGTTCCTGACAGGAGTGGCGTCCTTTGGACACATTGGCTGCGGTGTACCTTACAAATATGGTGTGTACACACGGGTAGTGAACCATCTGCAGTGGATATCACAAGTGACAGGGATGGACTTATCACAGCCACAAGTCGACTATATACCGTTGATTACATAGAGATGATTGATGGCAGTGTAGTATTTGACGCTAGCACGTTTACCGGCAGTTGGGAAGGAAGGAAGGAAGAAAGAAAGAAAGGAAGAAAGAAAGAAAGGATGGAGGAGGAAAGAGGGAGAGGAATTCACGCGACATGCCTGAAAACCATTACCTGCCTTTTGCAGCCATATTCATGAAGGGTCCTTTAAACAACCCTTGAGAAGAAAATCACAAACAGAAACTTGCCAAGAAGGCAAAGAACATGAAGTACATAGAGCACACCACCGCTTAAAAAAGGAAAATTTTACTCAATCTTCTCTTAATGGATGCATTTCCAATATCCTTTTAACCTCTACTATCTGATCCATACTGACCGGAGAGTACTGACATCAACTCGTACGTAATTTTTTCATTGAATAGTACTACGATCAATATTTCTTGATCAACATTTATGAATCACAAAGCTACCAATTTCTTCAAGTTTTAGGTTAACCTGATGTTTGAATATTGCCCTTAAGTTTTCTAGCCCTATAAGAAAAATTAACTGCTTGTTCTATCAAGCATTCCCTGGAAAAATAATGAGTTAAAATAGGCGAGTAGTAAGCCAAACCGAGCTAGTGATAACTCGAAAAAAAAGAAGAAACTATTTTAAGCACATCAAAATAAACAGTTCTTTCCTCCTGTCTTTAACGAAAAAAAGGAATAGCGGAATAAATTAAAAAAAAAAACCGATACCCTCACATCAATATGCATATTCTCCATACTGTTCTCTACACATTTCCTAAGGTGCTAACAAGGCACCGATAAGCAGTCAAAGCAAACTCACATAAACGACCTTTCAGCCGTGGGAAAAGTGAATGACCAAGTCATGATTAGTTTTAGTTTATCTGTTGACTGATGACGAGAATGACGTAAAATCTGTAGACCGAATAAGGCGTACTGCAAAGTAGACGTGTAGCAAATGTTGTGTCTAGTTGCTTTTGACATTTGTTCCTAAGACCAATCAAAATATAGCTTTTGTGTTGCACCAAAGCATTACTTCCATCTCTCCATCCCCTCGTCGGGTCTTCTCCGTTACAGGTCAGCTATAAATAGTCGCTTTGTTAAGAAAACCATTACAATATATTTACTTCTGGCGTAGACAATCACTGCCAATCAAAACTAGGTTACAACTTAAGTTTAGATAAGTAAAGGTAAATTTGATTCTATGTGAGTGAAAAAGTCAACAAAACTCACCAGATCCACTAGAATAGAAGAAGAATCTGCACATGGTCCATCTGCCAGTGCAATGAGACCTCCCTGATCTAAAAAAAATCGTGGATAAGTAAATAAACTTGAACGAAAAAATTCAGTTTATAAGAAAAGTTGCGTGAATAACACTTCATAGCCAAAGTATTAAAAGGAATAAGAGAAAATTGGGCAAATTATTTTGTGAACGGTGCCGTCTGTCATGGACGGTCAGCATGGAACCATTAGGATGTTGCTTAGCAGCGCCTCTGACCTACACCAAGGGCCCAGCAAAATCCCTGGATCATTTAAACTCACAAGGCTGCATTTTCTCTCAGTTTGTTCATTTAACCAACCTGTGACGGTCCTGGCCATTTGAGACAATCCTGTAATAGTGTTGGCTTGATCCAGGCTTAGAGCTACAACGCTACTGAGTTTGTCGGTGACTCCACTGTCCAAAACACTGGAATGTTTTCTGTACAATTCACTGCCAACAATGAAACACTTCTCTCCAATCCTCTGACTGAGTTTCTTCCAGCCCTCCCTGTCCTAAAGGTTTTGGTAAATTTTCAAGTAAGGAATCATGAGTTAACAACGAAACTGCTTCCAAACTGAAACGTCGGTTCGGTAAGATCAAAAAACACGAAAAGCGCAAAAGAAAAGCGAGCAGGAACAAGGATAAGTGGATGAAGAAGTTAAACCCTTTACACTCTAACATCAGTATGCATATTCTCCATACTGTTCTCTATACATTTCCTGTGGTACTTACAAAGAGAATTTGTTTAACAATCATGAGCTTCTTTCGTGATCATTTCGTTTATTCTCAAGTCCTTATTAATGATTTAGGGGAGAAACTGTTGGGAAAAAATTAGATGTTTATCGCTCATAGGGTTGAAGGATTAAGACGGATTACTAAGGATCGACTTGAAAATTTAGGCTACCATTCTTTGGGAGATGCAAAAACACTGACATAACTCCTTAAAGCGAAGGTAAGTCTTAAACCCCAATTTACACGCATCACAACACTGACCGGACTCCTGACACCATCAATGATAGCTATGATTCCAAGGTATCTCTCGTGAAGTTCACAGTACAGGTTGATCACATCGTCCAGACTCTTGAAGGCGTTTGCCATTATCTCATACTTTAGTTTTTCCTGCGAAAAAGAATAGATTTTTCGATTCATGCTCATAGATTTCGCCGATAACAAATGAGTAGCGCTGATAGTGTGTCACTTACTCGCTCACGACCGCGGGCAAACAACCACACTTGTAGCAACTTAAAGAGTCACGAACTCACAAACGTCTATTTATGCTAAGGAGTCACACAACAGAGCGATAAAAAACTCTACATGCAGCACCCACCTCAACCACAGTTAACCATAAACGCATACATGCACGCATTTGTTTAAGATGAAACCAAAACTGCGTTTACAACCTGGTTCATGACTTATTTGTCAGTGTTATTCACTGAATTACTAGGCTGGTACCCCATTCACACCAAAGGTTAAACATGTTTTAATGTGTTTCGTAAACACGGTTATAAATCGTTTTCTCTGTAGAAGCTATTTAAAATGATGTTTGTCAACTTCAAATTTAGCAAATTCAACATACAAGTTAGAGACTACTTACAACTTATGGAAAGTTCAGTTTTTCAGTTCTCCTTCATTTTTTTCATTCAGTTAAACCTAGTCTAACTACAATTGTGTTGTTGGTTTGAATGGGGTATTAAATTGCCTCCGCTGATTCAATCGTATAATTGGAAACGTTTTGCAATAAAGAGAAACTCGTTTATTCAACAACTCTGTAAGTAGTGATACTGATAAAACTTCTATCGCTACTAACAAGTTTTGACTTCTTGTTTCCACGACGCTGCGGCTAGGATTAAACAAACGATCGACACTAAATAAGTTGAACCCACAACTCTACCAAAAGTTCAAAACAAATGACAACGATTTCAGAAAAAATATAGTATTTTGCAGGATGTTGAAACAACATAATCATGATAAAAGAACTCAGTGTTCAAGAAACAATATACCACAGCACTCTTCCTTTTCCCCCTCAGTTCAAATTCTCACCTGGTCATAAATTTCTGAGGCTGCGCAGTTGAGTGCGATGTGAACATCAGTACCCAGGCTATAGCCGCATGAAGACACTGCGTCTTGAACAAAATCTAAAGCCTGCTCTGGCTTATCCATTGAAGGGGAATAGCTACCATCATCAGTAACACACCGACCAGAAGGCTGGAGAAAGATATAAAAGAATTCGAATTCAAAGGTGACAAAAAAACGGGCTGGGAGGAAATAAAAAACAAGCAAAACTTACTCCGTATTTTTGAACAAGAGTCTCGCCCATCTGCTGATGGATGTTGGTCAGCTGGTGCAAGGCCTGATAGATAGAATATAACGACAAGTTCTTAAATCCTCAACCTTAAAACTCTGTATTGCAATCCAACTAAGTGGGTTGATTTGATTTTATTTCACCTTGGTTAACTAAACAATTTACCTATGTTCGCTCCCTTTAAAGCCATGACAATGTTTTGGTTAAAACTCACCCCGTTTCACAAAGTGTTTCGTTGAATCGTTTTCCAACCATGAAGTCTTTGAGCGGTGGTAAAACGCTTAGTAATTTAAACCAAAAACTAAACTATCAAAAGTGGTTAGTTTTAAGCACAGTACCTTTTTCATGGGCGTTCCTGGCTGAGGTAAAATGAGAACTTCTTTGATAAGATTTTGCTTTCCCGCAGCCTGCTTTCCACTCGTCAATAATGTCATCATTGGAATAGGTACAGTAAAGTTATCATCAGTCTGCAAAAACAAAAATTTGCTGCATCAAAAACTGTGCTTTGTAAGAGTTAGTTACTGTATGGAGCATTTTCAATTGTGTCAAAAGTGATTCAGGATTGCATCAGAAATTCGCGCCACTCTCTTGGCTAGTCAAATGCACAACTTTATATCACTCTCCTATATAACGCCCACGTTATGTAGGAGAGATGTCGAAAGCAATCCTTAAAGAGTGTGGCTTTCTAGTTTAACAAGGATGCCCTTTTCGATCAGCAGTAAACCACTACCTTCTCACACTCAGAGTTCTCCCCTACTTTAAGCACGAAAGGTTACAGAAATCGGTAGAGTAATCTTTCTACAAGCTGGATTTTCAAGAATTCTAAGCGATTTTAGGCGGTAATAAGAGGCACTACAGGAGGTTAATTGTACCGGTTACGGCCTGAAAAGGAGAACGCTGCACACTGTTCTTGTTAAAGGAATTCGAACCAAGAACCAAACTTCATCTCCCTTCTTCAAAATATTTTTCCAAGGTTCCCCTTTACTTGTCTTGAAAACCAACTCGTTAGTGAAGTAACTGGTTTTGCCCGCCTTCTCACACCAAGTGAAGCACGAGAAGTTATAGAATGCATATTTACCTCTTTTCCAACAAGTTTAGCAAGATGTTGGTACAAAGAGAGTCCTTTAATTTTTGCCCCGGTGACTACCGTCCCCATCGAAACACCAATTATAGCCGCATCTCTGCAGATCTCCTCTTCCTCCAAATCAGGCACCACTTGTACTTGTGACTCTTTGATGCCAGCTGTTCCTCTTTTGCTGTCTCCTTTCTTGCTAGTATCCTGTGAAATTTGCGACTGTTTGCTCTCTCCTCTGGACATATTTGACTTCTTGTTTGAGTCCTCAGCTTTTTCAGGCTCCAGTTCTTCCTCAGTTTGATCTTTATCACTGTCATTGTTATTAATATGTAGTGACTGCCTTTCTTCTTCTAACATTTTCCTAAATTGAAAGCAGAGTACATTTCGATGTGTACGTGACTTGGTACAAACAAGAATTAGGTGAAGGGGGAGGGGTGGGGTGAGGTAGGAAACTTTCATACTCAAAGTGACCCACCTACTGGGGGGCCGGGAAAAGGGGAGGGGATAATACTGATTTTCACAGAAGCAATACAGCTCAGACAAATTTTAATCCCCAATCACCTTTCAGCTTCAATTACCTAGATAGCCTTGCCTGACAAGAAAAAAGGAAGCTTCCTACTCCTCTTAATTGGTATTACAAACCTGGGAATGGTGTAAGGGGTAATCTGCTAATTTTAGATTACATGACAACACAGGGGAATCTCAGCCCTCAGAAACCATTGAAATACTGATGAAAACCATTTGGACAAGATGGAATTTTTTTCCATGACCCCTCTTTTTGGGTGTAAGTGGTATATCAACTTTACCTTTGAAACATCAAAAACAAGACAGGTTAGGCTAAAAAGGCTCTGTTTTACAAAGACCGTAAGGTAATCTATCCTAGATTTTATCACCAATCTAACTTTCATCCAAACACCATTTTGAATGATCTGTGGCTGATGGTCCCGCTGTGGGATCTAACAAATACCATAAATTAACTTAGTTTAAAATGATAAAGCCTTTTCTACTATGATATCATTAACAATACACTGCTGATTTATTTTTGCATCGTACTACAGAAATTCAAAAAGAAATGTGATGAATTTGTTTTGTTTGGTCAATATGGAAACCAGAGTCTACCCTAAGTCTAGAATTCTTTTCAGTAAGTACATGTACCAACTGCATATTGTGTCTTCACTGCTGGGCCAAAAAGTACTAACTTGGAGCCCACACTGAACATGAACAATTTTTTTCTTTTCATAATTCAACAAAATCATGTAAACTCCCTTACTGTAGCATCTCATCTATCTTCATTTGATCAGTTGGGTCCAGTCCCACAATACGTGGTGCAATAGTATCAGTGATTCTCTCAATTGACTCTGCCACATCTAGTCCTGGGGCTGGACTAATGGATTCCCCTACAGTGGTCATAACAGCAGTCTCTGCCCCCTTTTGCTGTTTGGATTGCTCAGTGACAGGTGTCTTGGTTTTCACGTCTGGGGTTTTGACCATCTTGGAGCTCAAAGAGTCTGCTGGGGGACTGGAATCAATAAGGGATACAACACTTGCTATGGGCTGAAAAGACATATAAATTTAGTTTATACTAAAACAGAGGATAATGTTAAAGGAGCTCTCTAATTGGTTACTCAAACTCTGAATTCCTTCATTATTCACCTCTGAAAAACTCATGCAGGATCTGTGCCCCAAAATGTTGTAACCATAGTGGGAATAAACGAATGTCTCACTATTTGTGTATACACTAAAAAAATTATTCACCTTGGTGTAATGGTGGCTAGCAGTGTATCCATCACTAGCCACCTCCACTTCAGTAAATAATTTTTAAATATAACTCTCGTCAAAAATATAATAAGGAGGGAAGCAAATTAAACACAGATGACGTCAATCATTCAATACACCAACACTGTACCTTTGAGAGTCCATTGACGGTGCAGTCAAAGCTAACTTCAAAGGTTGGGAATCCTCGGGTACTGAGGATTTCTATCGCTGAGACCTGTCAGCAATATAATGGAACAAATCAAATCAGCTAAGCTAATCAGGATTAGTTTCTTTCTGTTAGGATGATTACAATTTGTAAGCACTTAATCGTTATATTAAAACAGTAATCACTATAACAAAAGTACTGATTAAAAAATCAGGATTAAAATCCCCACGCTTGTTTTGTGTTGTGGTTAAAATATTTCTTGATAAAACAATTTTTCAAATCAGTTTGATTTTGACACTTTCATTGTCTTGTATTCATTATCATCGTATGAAAGAATAAAGAGTAGCAGTGAAGTGTGCCCACAAATCATAAATAATAAAAGCATGTTCATGTGCAGTTTTAAAGTACATACATCTAAAAAGTTAGAGCAAGTATGTCATTTCAGAAAAAAATCTGAGTAAGCTGAACAAAATGAAAACCTTGGAAAGGAAGGCAAGGATGAAGTTCCAGACCCAAATCAAAAATTTTATAAATAGGATGCACAAACACATAATGGAACTTCCAGTGGAAAGGAAAGTAGGTTTAAAATCAAAGCCATCAAAATAGCAAAAAATCCTTTTCTTTATGGCCAACATAGCACAGGCTGCCAAAGAATCCTGTGCACAAACTGCTACACTACCAACTGAAGGTTTAATGTTTGAATTAAGACACTATACACAATAGAGAACACCAAAAACTCACTTTTAATTACATAACATAATTGTGAAAAGGTATGGGAGCAAATAATAATCACTGGTTCTAACTACCATTGTGGTGTTAATATTAAAACACAAGCTAAGTAAGATACCTTAGATATTGTTGGTGTTTTGGAACGTTTCCCAAAATATTCTCCCTGTAAACATCAAATGAAACTATCATTAATGACCTGATAGTCTATGACAGTGAATAAGACAGCATCTTAGTTACATGCCTGGAAATCAGAAAGTTACATAAACTGACTTTCACATATTCTCCTCATCAGTTTTATCCAAGTTTTTCATACCAGCTCTCTCAATGTAACTCTAAACATAAGTTATATCTTGAGGGAACCTAAAATTACCTATTCCCTCCTGGCCCAGGCCAATGTATTTAAAATGAGTTTACATGGGTTAATTGCATTTTCATTTTCTGCAAAGAAAGTGGAATTCAGTACAGCACTTAAGTTTATTTATGGCACAAGTTATAAATCCAAGTACAAAAATCGAGGTTCCATAACTTACAGTACAGACCAAGAAAATAAGGTTAGTGAGATATTTATTATATCTCTGGGTTCAAATAGAGAAGAAAGATTTCAATTCAAACAAACTCTTGAATTTACATGCAGCCAGCCATACAGTGAAATACAGCTCTCTATATTGGCCAATAATATTATGTGCACTAACTGAGAGATATAATAAACCTTATGGCTGTTCAAGTTTGCACAAAAGATGACTCAGGTTCCAAAATTTTCACCAAATTAGAGAATTCTGCAATTTGTATAGTCTACAACATGATTTTGAGTGCAATTTGGTGCTAATAAGCACAAATAAATTTTTCAAAAACAAAAAAATTGCAGGAGCCCATAGGGAAACTGTGAAATTTGAAGAAAAATTATGTTATAATTCTTGTTAAAACTATTTACATGAAAAAACATCTGAGAAAGCCAAGACAGACAGAAATTTTGAAAGGATGTGAGCACTAATTGTAATCTGCACTTGTATTACAACTTTGAACTTATGTTCAGCCAATCAGAAGTACATAATTTTTGTATATTTGCATACATGCAAGCTGCCTGTGTCATGGAGGAGCATGTCAAGTGCTTTATCTTTAGCTACTGTTTTGCTTGCTTGAAATAATCGTTTCCTCCAAAATGCGCTCTCAATACTCGAAAAGTTCTACTAGCGTCTCGATCCTCGATTCTCGATTCTCGATAGTTTCAAGCATCGAGGATCGCGTTTTGAGTCGAGACTGTCAACTTACTTTTGAACGGTAAATTACATCATTTGTAGCTGAATAATATTCTGATCTCCAATGCCCAATAAATATGTTACTTAGATGGAGATGTAACTGTCTCAATATTTGATCGATACGTAAAAATCACCAAGCTGACAAGTAAAAAGGTGTGCTGCATTGTAGATGAATCTCTAAAATAATTTGCCATGACGGGGCATGTGTGTTTTACATGCCACCGTGGGAACAAAAAGAAATGCAGTAAACTCACAGTTTCTGTTGTTTGAATCAAATCTGTAACATCAACGTATCAAAATGTGAAAGAATGAAAACATCCCAACACATTCCATGTTAACAGAGAGAGTGAGGATCTATCAAATTTTTTCGTCAAATTTATATGTGCTGATTAATCCCAAAACTAAATGTATATACTCGTAGAATGAATTAGTAAATAACGTGCAAGACTGTTGTCTCCGTAAGCTGACGCGAAAAAAAAAAAAGCACAGGAAAGAATATACGTACCATGTATCCAAAAACATCATTGGGTTTCTCCTTGAACATCTTATTCAAAAGATCCTCAATCTGTTTTGGCACTTCATTCTTGTTAAAAAAAGCCACAGCTTCCCGTTTTTCCTCCAGACTGTATGCACCGTTTTTAACCGCCATGTTGAATCACCAAGGCAACTTGAACAGTTTACCCCAGTCTCGTTTTCATGCAAAACAAATGCTAGTGCCAGACTCCTCGTTTGCAGAAAGAATCTTTAATCGGTGAAATAAATATTGGAAACAAGCTGTTTGATTTATTTCACACAAAAGTTAGACTCTTATCCTTTGGTTACTATTCTCACATGCGACAATTTTTAACTTGGATTTAAAAATGTTAAGAAAGATTTCCAAATGCCTTTGCCGATCTATAACAGAGCATATAAAACATTGCAAAAATAACTAAAAAAAGCAATCGTGTTAATGATCTGTTTTGTGGTACCATTTTGGCTATTGTAATACCATCTTCTAGCTATCTTATCTCGGCAAGACATGATAGAAAATAACGGGATGCAAACTTAAGTAAATTCTGAGGAACAGCTTTCATACTGCTCTTGTATAACCAATCATGATAAGCACGTCTACAACGAGTAAAAGTTATATTAGTTCTGAGTGAGTGACATTGAAAAATAATAGACATGCTTGACTGAGAAAGAAAAATTAGGCGTAGAGTATAGAAAACAAACGTGCAGCTGAGTTGTAGCGTCTGGAAATTTCTCTCAAGAAAGTAGTGGAACGCTATGCGTTTCTGAAATTTAGCCGCACTAAGGAAAACTCTGTAAATCTAAATTTTTAAGAACTTATCAACCTGAGCCAAAACACACTAGTAACTGTTTATGTCGTTTCTTTAAAAAGAGATGTCTAACAAGTATATGAAGTCCTCATGAGGTCGTGCCTGACCATTTTTAGATCAAGATTTACAACTTGAAACATGAATTTGAATTAACAGAGCATTTAACTCATCTCATGGAAGCTGAGCCAAGCGTTTATAGACAACCACAAAAAATGATTAAAACGGCCGGATAGCAAACTGGTATCATCAAATATTTTTTTACACGCCATTAGTTTCGCATACACTAAATTATATTGGCTCATCACAAACAGTTAGCGTGTGTATACATACAGATTGCAAATTTCAGTTAGACATCCGCAATTGTGTGATGAAACAACTCGGTTTTGGCTCTGTTAGACTAATATGCCATATTAATGAAATCTTAAACAATGTTAGAGGGAAGAATATGTTGCAAGAGGATATAAAAATACAGACTGATACAAAGGAGAGAGCCACCCAGTCTGTTTCCAACTCTCTCCATCTTAAAAAGATAATCGAGCAAACCAATCGATTAACTAAAACAGAATTTCACCTTAAAATATCAATACAACGTCAAGTAGACAAGTAGTAAGAATGAAGAAAAGAAAAGCAAGCACGTGCATGTATACGGAAAAAGATAGGATAACCCTAACTTTGCTTTGCTTCACTTCAAACGATTCACAGAAGTACGTGAAAATCTTAATTACTCTAAATACATCAAACTACTTCAATATAGCAGTCACTGACTTGAAGTTATTGTTCATGCAAAAGAATGTTGACTTTTTCGAGACTTCCTTAAGATCCCATCGCAATCAGTAATACTTTCAAGAAATATTTTCCCCTCCAACAAAAACTAGAGATTTACTTTATTTCTCTAGCGTGTTGAACCAATTGACCGAGTCTTACAGCGCTGTCACTTTTTTAGTTTCTTGGCATTACAGTTCAGCTCCCCTGGCGAGAATGATTGGATTCCTAGAATCCATTAAAAGTGATAGTTCTTCGGAATCAAAGTAAAATCGCCAGTTTTCTCAAACGGAATACTGCCTTTGTGTTAGTTATCTTTTCCCGTTCTAAACAAAATTAGAATAAGACAAAAGAATTCCGAGAAACGTTATCACATCGATTAACACTCCTCAAGTGAGTGTCTAGAATGCTAAGATACTGTTTTTGTTAAGTGTTGGTTTTTTTATCGATGACAGCATGCAGTAAACTTCTAGAAATGTGCGGTTAATGCACTTTGCTTTGAACAATATGATAATAGAGCCAGGGGTGGTTACACAGTGTGAGGAGCTTGGTTAATGTATATTTTGTTTGTCCATAATTGCATGATTCCTCTGAAAATCTGGTAGAAGCTCTCTTCTATTTAAATGACTTCGAGGCGTTCCATATCGAGCAGTGTGCATTACGTGCCACATGACCTTGTTATAGCGTGGAGGAAAACGGCGTTTTCATTTTCTTATCAACACCATGCAGTTTTGTAAACTTAGGAGAATGGTAGTCAACTTTAAGAAGATCAAGGTCGCTCAAATGTATGCCATACCTCTTGATGGTGAGTATGTAAAAGTTAAAACACTTCTGGTGTTTTCCTCTAGATTGATAATGGTATTTAAAGATCTGAAGATATAAATTTATTCTAGTTCTATCTATAAAGAGCCATACCGCTGGAAAAGTTTCCCTATCTTGACAGAAGTGTGTCGTAGGTCTAACCAATTCTACCCCGTGCATTTGCCAGTGAAAGTCTTCTGGGAAATCAAAAAGCACTGGTTATAAAGTTGTAGTGGTTTTGGGAAATCAAACTTGTTATAAAAACTAATATAAATTCAATTGTAAGTTAACCACAAGAGGTAATCAGCTTACATGTTCAGGTAAGACCAAGATTACATGAAATTTTCAATTCATCTTGGCTTGATCATTAGATATGACATTACTTTGAAGGCTAGCGCGATAGCTCTTGTATCATGACGAACACCACAATTATGATTTCTACCTCAAAGTGCCGAATTTTGGTAAAGGTCAGTGATTGAGTGGTTGCTGAAGAGGTTGAATGAATTAGTGAATGGAGACTAGCTGTCAAACTGCTGACTAGTGAAAAAAGAAAAATTCTACATGATTGGATGATGATACTGTCTATTTACCTGACTGACGGACGAACAGAAGGTATAACTGACTAGCAGCCAACCACAATTGGTAACTTCTAAGTGTAAGATTGTAACACTTTGATATAAATTTCTTCATTCCTCTTCATTTGATTTCTATACGCGGTATATGTTGAATGCTAGCGCTACATATGGTGTCCTGGCAAACAATACGATTATCATGGCGGATTTCTATCTCTGATTGGTGAATACGAAACCAGATGGTGGACCACGTAATTGGATGAATGAGATAACTTGCCAAATGGATGGCTTTCAAACTGATAAAGAATGAAAAAGTTGCCAAACAATTAGATAATCTAAAGGCAAACTGTCTTATTCAGTGCCTGAATGACAGACGAACAGATGGTTGAGAGTTTCTTAAGCAGTTAACCACTGACATGAACCTACTGACTGGTATTCTATGTTTTTCTGCTTGGCTGACAGAAAGATTAACTGAAGAACACATGGATTGAATTATTTTCAAGCTAACCAATTAATTAACAAACAGGTTAATCAAAAACTAATCAACGACCCGGGTGATTAAAAAGCTAACTTTACTCTCTGAGTTTCTACTTTGTTACCTCAGTATTCTACCTACTGACTGACCAATTAACAACCTAGACAATAGGATTAAAAGCTATCTAACCATCTGAAACGTTTATTGTTTGAATGATTAAACCACTGAATGTCCATGGGATAACCTGACAGACCGGTCGACTGTTCAGCAGACCGACTGCCTGACAGACTGACTGAATGACAGACAGGCAGACAGACAGCAGACGGACAGACAAACTGACTGACTTACAGACAGACTGAATGACTGACAGACAAACAGACAGACCGACTGAATGACAAACAGACAGACTGACTGAACGACCAACTGACTGGCTTGCTGACTGACACACTGACACACTAACTCACTAACTCACTGAGTCACTGACCGACTGGCTGACCGACTGACTGACTGAATGACATACAGGCTGACTGACTGACCGAACGACTGGCTCACGCGTTGGCTGACTCAGTTACTATGTAACGTACTGAATAAATGACAAATTTAATGAACAACTTCCTGACTGAATGACTGACGGGCTAAATGAATGAAAGAATGAATTGAATAAATGAGTAAATGATTAAAAGAGTGAATGAAAGAAACAAGATAGGTGGATACGTGGAAGGGAAAAAAGATGAATGGATAGATGAATGAAATAAAAAATTATTTGATCTAAATAATCGATAACTTGGATTCACTTTAAGTTTGAACTTTACCTCTTGTTGACATAGGCTCATCATACTATTTCCTCTTTTGCAAAATATGAATCTACAACTACTTATAACCCTACTTGAACAGTTAGTACACGATGAACAAAAAGGTGAGTAAGTTAATGAATATTAAAAAAACGGAGAAAAACATTGGCAGCAGCTAACTAACGATTTGATCTAATTGAATCACTACCTGTGACTGACCATCAAACCTCCTTGGTCATAAGCAATCTAATCACCAAGTAAACTCACCAAACGACTGATTTTATCAACTCAAAAAGCATAGCACCGATCGAGTGAAACCTTAATTTCATTTTTTGTCATTTTGTCTTCGAATTAAATCGTAAATGAAACTAATTTAGAAAGAGATATAAATTCGTGTACGATATGGTAGATGTTGGTACTTTGTAAGTTAAATCCGTTGAGCTATACTGAGATGCATCCCTCAATCCTGAAAATTTTTCCTTCCCAACAGCTGATTGTTTTTCGTTGCTTGCCAGTATCCTTATCCTCATTTCAGATGGTTTGCTTTATATTTTTTAATAACTTAGTTTATTGTTTATGTTTGCTAGCCTCTACTTTATAGACTTGCATTGCCTCTGCACAGACAATCATTGAAATTTCCATTTTGATCTTACATAGCGAATCAATTACAGACAACAAAGGACGTTTTCTGTCAGATTTTCATCCAATTCAAGAAGTTGACCTAGGATACGTCCTTGAAATTTTTTTAATTCTCTGAGTTGTTTAAAAAACAGAAATCTCTGTGTAGCTCGTAAAAGTCATTCAAATGTACTTAACTGTCAACAGCTTGATCTTTTTAAGTAGAGCCTCTTACAAGCAGGTCTGGAAACTCCTTGCAGTGTTTGAAATCGTTATATAAGATGTTCTTCAAACAAAGCGGAGGTTTTGCTCTACAAAAGG